TTTTCCCCTTATTTTTTTGGGATGGCCCCCCCTCGAAAGCCATTTTTTTTCGCATGCCCCCCCCCAAATCCCACCAGCCCCCCCCTACCTCATAAAAAATGAATGGTCCCTTAAAAGCACCTAAACTCGAAATTGAAGCACCATATGTTTAACTCGAAAGTGAAGCATTTTCTTGGCAACTCACGATAGCCTGTAACCCTGATTCTGGCTCACGTGAATCTGGCTTACATCGCTTACATGCACAATGACCACAATGAATGATAGCCGCTGACAGACAGCATTTTCGCGCGTGAACCCGAGTACTGACGGAGAGGCTCCGCCCGAAAGGGGTACCTCTTTCAGGCTTTAGGTGTATAAAAGGGATGGGATTTCACAAGGTGAGGTTATATATCAAACACGAGAGACCGTGTTTCATCGGGATATCCAAACACCGAGAAGAAAGTTAAAAATACTACGCTTAGCGGAGCATTTTTGACGAAATTTGAGGTGTTTGAATAGCCGATGAAACACTGTCTCGAGTGTTTGATATATCTTCTCAATCGATCGAAACAAAAACTAAGGAGTGAACGGAAAAGTAAAATCGTCAAAATCTTGATTCATTGATGATTGATTCATAACATGGGCCAGTTTTGAAAGTGTGTAAAAGGGGTACCTCTTTTCAATTCATGGTATCAAAAGAAGTTCCTTTCTGTCAAAATGGTACTCAAACGGGTAAGGGGTTGGACCTCTACGCAGAGCCTCCCCGTATACGTATAGAACTTTGTAAATGCTCGCCAAACGCACCTTTTAAAAGTCTTTGAAAGTTTAGTGGCTAATCACGTTGTTTTAGATGATTGTACTTGACACTCTATTTTGTCTTCAGCTCGTCAAGATCGCAAGCAACAAAGCAGTGCTTCAACCCAAGTAACAGAACAAGCAACACACCAATGGGTCAATTATTCTCTTAACACCCTTCAAGTGTTGGGCACCTCTTACCAATCCTTGNGAGAGCGGATCCACGTTGGGGAAAGCAACTTGAAATTGAGAGATGAATGAACGTTTGAATAATCTTGCAATGTAAAGGCCGCTGCGACCAAGCAAGTTACTAAACCGGGTGATAAATGAAGCCTCTGAGCCTAGCTCCCGAGGAAAGCAGTGAATAATTAATTAACTCCTAGGATTCGAAGCCTGCAAGAGACAGACTTGGAGCAGTTCTTTGTTAATTTATCTTACTTATCGAGCAAAAAGAAACTTGAGATCCGTCCACGTCTTATAGCCTGCAGACAAGCTCTCTAGGGAGCTCTCAAAGAGTTTGCTACAGACTAACGATTGTCCGCAGTCTCGCAACCGTTACTTCAGTTGTCACACAACGCTTCTCGTGGATTCAAAGAGCGTTACGCCACGAACCAAGTAACGCCTGTAATACGGACGAGAGATTGCGGAAATCAAGCCTCCAGAAAATATCGACAACCAAAATACACTTGGTCTTTCAAGTATCCACAAAACCTTTTTGTTCTTTTGATGTCAAGAGAATGAACTGCCATGCAAAGGGGGTTCCACTACAAGAAAAATCTTTAAAACACTCCTTTCGATGTTAAACTGTGTGTAGTCACAAAAGTCACGTACGCAATGCTTCCAAAGATTGCGTGACTCGGGGAGCACTCGAACAATGCTGGTCACGTAAACGTCTGCTCCTGAGGCTGGCGTCTCGTCACACTTACAGCATGATTACGTGGTCATTTTTAGGTGATTTATAGCAACGGTAAAATGGCTGTTACAAGTGAAGAAAGAGAAATTTCAATCCTTTTCCTTCAATTCCCCCAGCGCGCAAAGCCGCCCAGTAACTTCGCTGACCAACTGAGTCGAAGGCTCGACACAACGCTCCTCCAAGTAGTTCAAGGTTTGGAGAACTCCACTGTTGAACATAAAAGGATTCGAGCCTATGTCATACTTCTTTCACGAGATCATCCAGACTGTGTTCTGTAGCCACCAGCTTCGCCTTGTCCACGGATCTCAGTTGAAGGAGAAGTTGGATAACCTTCTTGATGCCATTCCTACAAAGGTGATAAAATCAAATCAATAAACACAATGAACACCCACTGGCTCTTTTCACACCAAATAGTTTTAACGAACACTAAGAGAAGGTCCAGAAAGCCAGACGTGGCTACATCTAAGAGTAATCATAAGATAAGTAGTTAAATACAATTTCAGTTCAAATGTGTGATTTAGGCCCAGTCCACACCACGCTGGAGAAATTTGAAAACAACGTTTTTACTCTGAAAACGCATCAAATTTTTTCCGTCCACACTGCACTAGAGGAATTCAAAAACGCATCAATCAGCGCTTATTTTGGATTTGTGTTTGAGGAAACCTAGGAGAAACCAATTGATTATCGTCACATTATTGCTTTCAAAAACCTCTGTTTTCAAAATGTTTTCCGTCCACAGTAAAACTTTTAGTGTGGACGTAAGTAAAAACCCAAAGCCGGCGTTTTCAAATTCCTCCGGTTTGAAGAGTGTTTTCGAAAAGCTCCGTTTTCGTGACGGATTA